GGATCTCTATACTGACATGGACGGGGGATGGGTGAGGAACGTAAGGACACCCATCATTGGATGGAAATGATCACCACTGAAAGCTGCAGCCACCTAACAGCACACCCCCAAGGTCGGGGGGGGGGGGTTTTGATTGAATTTTGATCTTTTTACATCTTGTAAAAGACTGAGGAAATGCCTCCTTCTACAAAGTTACAATGTACAGTCTGATCACTGGGGGAGGGGGGACTGAGGAAATGCCTCCTCCTCCTTCTACAAAGTTACAATGTACAGTCTGATCACTGGGGGAGGGGAGACTGAGGAAATGCCTCCTCCTACAAAGTTACAATGTACAGTCTGATCACTGGGGGCGGGGAGACTGAGGAAATGCCTCCTCCTACAAAGTTACAATGTACAGTCTGATCACTGGGGGAGGAGGAGACTGAGGAAATGCCTCCTCCTCCTTCTACAAAGTTACAATGTACAGTCTGATCACTGGGGGAGGGGAGACTGAGGAAATGCCTCCTCCTCCTTCTACAAGTTACAATGTACAGTCTGATCACTGGGGGAGGGGAGACTGAGGAAATGCCTCCTCCTCCTTCTACAGAGTTACAATGTACAGTCTGATCACTGGGGGAGGGGAGACTGAGGAAATGCCTCCTCCTCCTTCTACAGAGTTACAATGTACAGTCTGATCACTGGGGGAGGGGAGAGACTGAGGAAATGCCTCCTCCTCCTTCTACAAGTTACAATGTACAGTCTGATCACTGGGGGAGGAGGGAGACTGAGGAAATGCCTCCTCCTCCTTCTACAGAGTTACAATGTACAGTCTGATCACTGGGGGAGGGGAGACTGAGGAAATGCCTCCTCCTCCTTCTACAAGTTACAATGTACAGTCTGATCACTGGGGGAGGGGAGACTGAGGAAATGCCTCCTCCTCCTTCTACAAGTTACAATGTACAGTCTGATCACTGGGGGAGGGGAGACTGAGGAAATGCCTCCTCCTCCTTCTACAACGTTACAATGTGCAGTCTGATCACTGGGGGGAGGAGACTGAGGAAATGCCTCCTCCTCCTTCTACAACGTTACAATGTACAGTCTGAGTCTTTTCGGATCACTGACACCGTTGCTGTATATTGGGGGCTTGTCCGGGATTTCTTCCTGCAGATGTGCGATATGAAGTCCTTTCTTGCTGTGACCAGTGAGAGGCGCTCCGCCTTTGTGGAAGATTCTCCCTGCTGACTCCTCTGGGCACAACTGATAAGAGCCATGGCAGGTCACCGGGGGGATCGCGTTACCCGCCGAGCGGGGTCGTCCGCAGTCATTTCACTGTTTCAGCACGGCATGCCGGGCGGGTTGGCAGCAGCCGCTCGGCTCCACATTTAGATCTGGGCACTCAGGACTCTGAAGTGTGTGCTATGTCCCCCATCCAGCGGGATCAGCACGCCATGCCGAGGGGCTCCGGTTACCGCGGACAGAGACCCTCACAGGCCGTCGCCGGGACTGAGGATGAATTAATTACTGCAGCGTGTGAGGGATGGAGGGAGACGCAGCTGACAAAGAGGATGATAGATCCCCACTTCACCGCCCAGAGCCACCGGTCTCATCACACAGCGAGTGTCAGCTGCCAGACGCCTGAGAAGTGTGCCAAGATTCATAACTGTCATGTCAGTCCCACGGATTCCCATCTGATGGAGGAGGGACACCGGCCCCCAATAATAATAATAGGGGTCCCAGAACAATGACACACTGACACTTGGGGGTCCCAGAACAATGACACCCTGATACTTGGGGTCCCAGAACAATGACACACTGACACTTGGGGTCCCAGAACAATGACACCCTGACACTTGGGGGTCCAGAACAATGACACCCTGACACTTGGGGGTCCAGAACAATGACACACCCTGACACTTGGGGGTCCAGAACAATGACACCCTGACACTTGGGGGTCCCAGAACAATGACACCCTGACACTTGGGGGTCCCAGAACAATGACACCCTGACACTTGGGGGTCCCAGAACAATGACACCCTGACACTTGGGGGTCCAGAACAATGACACCCTGACACTTGGGGGTCCCAGAACAATGACACACTGAGACAATGACACACGTACACTTGGGGGTCCCAGAACAATGACACCCTGACACTGAACAATGACCACACTGACACTTGGGGGTCCCAGGAACAATGACACACTGACACTTGGGGGTCCACAATGACACACACTTGGGGGGGTCCAGAACAATGACACCTGACACTTGGGGGGGTCCCAGAACAATGACACACTGACACTTGGGGGGGTCAGAACAATGACACCCTGACACTTGGGGGTCCAGAACAATGACACCCTGACACTTTGGGGGTCCCAGAACAATGACACACTGACACTTGGGGGGGTCCAGAACAATGACACCCTGACACTTGGGGGTCCCAGAACAATGACACGCTGACACTTGGGGGTCCCGGACAATGACACGCTGACACTTGGGGGTCCCAGAACATGAACAACTTGACAATGACCACTGACACTTGGGGGTCCCAGAACAATGACACACTGACACTTGGGGGTCCCGAAACAATGACACCCTGACACTTGGGGGTCCAGAACAATGACACACCTGACACTTGGGGGTCCCAGAACAATGACACCCTGAACAAGAACAATGACACACTGACACTTGGGGGTCCAGAAAATGACACATTGACACTTGGGGGTCCCAGAACAATGACACACTGACACTTGGGGGTCCCAGAACAATGACACACTGACACTTGGGGGGGTCCCGAACAATGACACCCTGACACTTGGGGGTCCCGGAACAATGACACCCTGACACTATGGGGTCCCAGAACAATGACACACTGACACTTGGGAGGTCCAGAACAATGACACGCTGACACTTGGGGGTCCCAGAACAATGACACGCTGACACTTGGGGGTCCCAGAACAATGACACGCTGACACTTGGGGGGTCCAGAACAATGACACACTGACACTTGGGGGTCCCCAGAACAATGACACACTGACACTTGGGGGTCCCAGAACAATGACACACTGACACTTGGGGGCCCCAGAATAATGACACACTGACACTTGGGGGTCCAGAACAATGACACACTGACACTTGGGGGTCCCAGAACAATGACACACTGACACTTGGGGGTCCCAGAACAATGACACACTGACACTTGGGGGTCCCAGAACAATGACACACTGACACTTGGGGGTCCCAGAACAATGACACCCTGACACTTGGGGGTCCCGAACAATGACACCCTGACACTTGGGGGTCCCGGAACAATGACACCCTGACACTTGGGGGTCCCGGAACAATGACACCCTGACACTTGGGGGTCCCGGAACAATGACACACTGACACTTGGGAGGTCCAGAACAATGACACGCTGACACTTGGGGGTCCCAGAACAATGACACGCTGACACTTGGGGGTCCCAGAACAATGACACGCTGACACTTGGGGGGTCCCAGAACAATGACACACTGACACTTGGGGGGTCCAGAACAAATGACACACTGACACTTGGGGGTCCCGGAACAATGACACCCTGACACTTGGGGGGGTCCCGAACAATGACACACTGACACTTGGGGGTCCAGAACAATGACACCCTGACACTTGGGGGTCCAGAACAATGACACACTGACACTTGGGGGCCCCAGAACAATGACACACTGACACTTGGGGGGTCCCCAGAACAATGACACACTGACACTTGGGGGTCCCAGAACAATGACACACTGACACTTGGGGGTCCCAGAACAATGACACACTGACACTTGGGGGTCCCCAGAATAATGACACACTGACACTTGGGGGTCCAGAACAATGACACGCTGACACTGACACGCTGACACTTGGGGGTCCCAGAACAATGACACGCTGACACTTGGGGGGTCCAGAACAATGACACACACTGACACTTGGGGGTCCAGAACAATGACACACTGACACTTGGGGGTCCCGGACAATGACACCCTGACACTTGGGGGTCCCGAACAATGACACCCTGACACTTGGGGGTCCAGAACAATGACACCCTGACACTTGGGGGTCCAGAACAATGACACCCTGACACTTGGGGGTCCCAGAACAATGACACACACTGACACTTGGGGGTCCAGAACAATGAACAAATGACACACTGACACTTGGGGGGTCCCAGAACAATGACACACTGACACTTGGGGGTCCTAGAACAATGACACACACTGACACTTGGGGGGGAAACCAGAACAATGACACACTGACACTTGGGGGTCCCGGAACAATGACACACTGACACTTGGGGGTCCCGGACAATGACACGCTGACACTTGTGGGGGGTCCAGAACAATGACACCTGACACTTGGGGGGGGTCCAGAACAATGACACACTGACACTTGGGGGTCCAGAACAATGACACACTGACACTTGGGGGGTCCAGAACAATGACACACTGACACTTGGGGGGTCCCAGAACAATGACACACTGACACTTGGGGGTCCAGAACAATGACACCCTGACACTTGGGGGTCCAGAACAATGACACCCTGACACTTGGGGGTCCAGAACAATGACACACTGACACTTGGGGGTCCCAGAACAATGACACACTGACACTTGGGGGCCCCAGAATAATGACACACTGACACTTGGGGGTCCAGAACAATGACACACTGACACTTGGGGGTCCTAGAACAATGACACACTGACACTTGGGGGCCCAGAACAATGACACACTGACACTTGGGGGTCCCGGAACAATGACACACTGACACTTGGGGGTCCCGGCACAATGACACGCTGACACTTGTGGGTTCCAGAACAATGACATGCTGACACTTGGGGGGGTCCAGAACAATGATACACTGACACTTGGGGGTCCAGAACAATGACACACTGACATTTGGGGGTCCCAGAACAATGACACACTAACACTTGGGGGTCCAGAACAATGACACACTGACACTTGGGGGTCCAGAACAAATGACACCCTGACACTTGGGGGTCCAGAACAATGACACACTGACACTTGGGGGCCCCAGAACAATGACACACTGACACTTGGGGGTCCCAGAACAATGACACACTGACACTTGGGGGCCCCAGAATAATGACACACTGACACTTGGGGGTCCCGGAACAATGACACACTGACACTTGGGGGTCCTAGAACAATGACACACTGACACTTGGGGGGTCCCGGAATAATGACACACTGACACTTGGGGGTCCCGGTACAATGACACGCTGACACTTGTGGGTTCCCAGAACAATGACACACTGACACTTGGGGGTCCAGAACAATGACACACTGACACTTGGGGGGGGTCCAGAACAATGACACACTTACACTTGGGGTCCAGAACAATGACACACTGACACTTGGGGGTCCAGAACAATGACACACTGACACTTGGGGTTTGGTCCAGTACAATGACACACTCAACACTTGGTCATTGGTGTGGCAGTCGGTGCAGTGGTAGGTGTGATGGTCAACTTTGGTCAAGTGTTGTACACTGGTCAGTGTGGCAGTAGGTGTGATGGTCACACGTTTGGGTCACTGTGGTGGTCAGTGTGGCAGTAGGTGTGATGGTCAACTGTTTGGTCAGTGTGGCAGTAGGTGTGATGGTCAATGTTTGGTCAGTGTGGCTGTAGGTGTGACGGGCAACGTTTGGTCAGTGTGATGGTTGGTGTGGCAGTGTGGCAGTAGGTGTGATGGTCAACGTTTGGTCAGTGTGGTGGTCAGTGTGGCAGTAGGTGTGATGGTCAACGTTTGGTCAGTGTGGTGGTCAGTGTGGCAGTAGGTGTGATGGTCAATGTTTGGTCAGTGTGGTGGTCAGTGTGGCAGTAGGTGTGATGGTCAATGTTTGGTCAGTGTGGCTGTAGGTGTGACGGGCAGTTTGGTCAGTGTGATGGTTGGTGTGGCAGTCGGTGTGGCAGTAGGTTTGATGGTCAACGTTTGGTCACTGTGGTGGTCAGTGTGGCAGTAGGTGTGATGGTCAACGTTTGGTCACTGTGGTGGTCAGTGTGGCAGTAGGTGTGATGGTCAACGTTTGGTCAGTGTGGTGGTCAGTGTGGCTGTAGGTGTGATGGTCAATATTTGGTCAGTGTGGGAATTGGTGTGGTGGCCTTTGTGGTGGTCAGCATTTGCTCAGTGTGGTGAACAATATTTGGTCAATGTGGTGGTCAGTGCAGCTAACGGTGTGGTGGTTGGTGTGGAGGTAGGTGTTGATGGTCAACCTTTGGTTGGTCTGGTGGTCGGTGTGGCGGTTAGTGTGGTAGTCGGTGAGGCAGGTCATGTTTGGTCACTGTAACAGCTCCTGCAACAATTCCAGAGCCCCGTCTCCCTATTAGGGTGCCAAGTTCAGTAAAACAGAGTCCTGCTCTTCGCCTCCCAAGCTCTGTTATTCCAGATGTCGGGATTTTAGGAAGGTAAAAAACGGGGCACGAGGGGGCCATAAAGCTAACACGCTGTACAAACTTAACAGCATCATAACGCCGCCAGGGAACACCGCAGAAATAAAATAAAATATTGTTACACCATTTCCACCGGGCTGTGGCGGATAAGAAATATGGAGATATATAAAGTTCTCAGCTGCTTCAGGAAGGAGTTAAATGTTATTCCTGGAGGGGGGAAGGTAAAGATCAGCGAGTTCTCAGCTCGTTATGGTGGAACTCTGGGCACAAAACTTTAGGAATGCAAAAACAAACGCTCCTCTCTGTACACGAACATTCTCTGGGACCTCCAGCTTCCACCCAACAACATGGCAGAGTCCAGCTGAACGACTCCAGGAGAAGATGGCCAGACAACTCCGTCCCTTTAGGTGCTCTGCCCACATGGAGATGGTGGTCTCAAATAAGCAGCCCATAGATTTCATGGACCATGGTCTGTATCCGCTGTGAAAAGGACAGTCCTAGTAATTATAGGGGCTTACTTGAGGGTGGAGGGAGCATTAGGTACTGCTGGAGGAGCTTAGCAGGCCAATCAACTGCAGAAAATTAGAGATGGCGTCGGGACATGGAAGTCACTGGGGCACACAGGGGAGCTGGAAGAACAGGGTTGTACTTGGAGACACCAAGGCACGTAGGGGGGACACCAGGGGTACTTGGAGATATGGTGACACACAGAAGTGCACTGGTGGTGCTGGGGAGCACTTGGAAATACAGAGGCACCCGGGGGAACATTGGGGATACTTGGAAACATGGTGGCACACAGAGGTCCACTGGTGACACTGGGGAGCATTTGGAGAAACAGAGGCACGCAGGGGGATAGCATGGATACTTGGAGACACGGCAACACACAGAGGTGCACTGGTAGCACTTGGTGAAACAGAGGCACACAGGGGGACACCAGGGGTACTTGGACACATGGTGGCACACAGAGGAGCACCGAAGGCACTGAGTAGCACTTGGAGACACAAAGGTGCAAAGGGAGACACTGGGAATACTTGGAGACATGCTGGCACACAGAGCTGCACTGGTGGTACAGGTTAGTACTTGGAGACACAGAGGCAGGCAGGGAACACCAGGGATACCTGGAGACTTGGCAACACACAGAGGTACACTAGTGGTGCTGGGGAGCACTTGGAAACACAGAGGCACACAGGGGGACGCTGCAGATACATGGAGACATGGTGGCACACAGAGGTGCACTGGTGACACTGGGGAGGACTTGGAGAAGCAGAGGCACGCAGGGGGACAGCATGGATACTTGGAGACACGGCAACACACAGAGGTGCACTCATAGCACTTGGTGAAACAGAGGCACACAGGGGGGACACCAGGGGTACTTGGACACATGCTGGCACACAGAGTAGCACTGAAGGCACTGAGTAGCACTTGGAGACACAAAGGTGCAAAGGGGGACACTGGGAATACTTGGAGACATGGTGGCACACAGAGGAGCACAGGTGGCACAGGATAGCACTTGGAGACACAGAGAGGGACACCAGGGATATCTGGAGACTTGGCAACACACAGAGGTGCACTGGGTAGCACAGAGGCAGACAGGAGGACACTGGGGACACTTGGAGACATGGCAGCACACAGAGGTGCGCTGGTGGCATTTTGTAGCCCTCGGAAACACAAAAGCGCACAGGAATGTACTGGAGGCACAGAAAAACTCTTTGGAACAGGGAAGCTTGTAGGCAGGCAAGCTTTTGTGCCACTTGGTGGTTCTGTTTCCGATATGGTGTGGTAGAGGGAATTATGGAATTGGGCGTTAGGCCGCTTTTAGTGAAAATCTTCATCTAGTGATGTAATGGGTGGAGGTAGTGCCCATATATACGCTAGTGCTGGGAGGAGCCTAGTGAGGTGGGGCATGGGAACTGAATACCCCAGGGCCAGTTGGATGTAGTCAGCTGCTGCCAAGGGCCCTTAACAGAGATGAAGCCCCAATCGAGGTAGTTCAACACCCAGAAGAAGCAGCTTTAGTCACCCCGAATGTGGACATCCCTTTCTTCTTTACTGTTAAACCCCAAGGCCAGGGATATCATGAGCAGGCCCATGGCCAGTATTTGGGCACAATATGGTGAAGGCTTTCATCTACCAGCAGTGGGTTGTTGGCGTTTCCAAGAAGAAGCGGGGCAGGAGCTTGAGAAGTGTGGCACCAACACATGGCCAATCGCAAACTCACAGAGGCGCACTGGTGGCACAGGGAGTACACTTGGTGGCAAGGAGGCACACAGAGGTGAGCTGGAGTCACACTTGGAGACCCTTGGGCACTTGAGGAGACATAGAGGTCTACTGAAGAGCGCTAGAGCACAGAGGCCACAGGATCTGAGGAACACAGGAACATGGAGGAGACGGAGACAGTGATAGTAAAAGGTTTGGCTTAGGCCTTGTAAGGTGCTGCTCAAATTCATGGGTTGCTTCATCGTTTAAGGGTTTAAGCTGTCTCCTGATTGGCAGTGGCAAAATCCAGAGATGCTGAGGGCCATGCGCTAGATCTCAAGAGAGGTCTGTGTATTACCTTTGCCTTGTAAACCAGGAATGAAAAAAGGAGCTCAATTCTGTTTTAATTCTTCTATCAAGCTGGTGGCTGTTTGAAGTCTGGGACCTTAGCTAGAACCCAATGTGCTGGGCTGGACGATTGTTTAGAGTTGGTGCTAAAATGGACGCCTGTTTAATTTATTTGGGGGCGTCTATCCCTTCCCCTAGTCAATCCCAGCCAAGTTGATTTCCGATAAGGGCCCCCACAGCCCATAGAAGTTACTGATCTTCCATTTTTCTATTCACATTAGCAGGTGACCCCATGGTCATGGCTGAATTTAGACTTCCTACCCACTAGATAGGTTGCCTTCTGCCATCTTGGCCCTAGTATCCCACCAACAGTGAAGGGGTGTGTTTACCTGACAACCTTGCTATGCTTTCACGTTAGTCAGATTTCTTCCATCCAGGGATAATCTAGTCAGTCATTTCTGTAGCCCTACCCTTTGGGTAGAAGTCCACAGCTGAGAAAATTGTAGGCCTGGATTAAGACCTCAGGGCTGGAGTCAGGGCCTGGAGAGCTTCCATAATTTAGCAATTCATGGGTGCCACCCCACCTTCAAGATGAATTCTCTTTAACAAAGAGGAATCCAGTAACTGGGAGGCTATAACAATCAGCTTGTGCCACCTACTGGTCATTACTTAGCATTGCTCAGTATTTCACACCTGCCTTAAACTGGAATACTTAAGTAGACTGCTGGACATTCAGTCTATGCCTGGTTATCAGGTTACTCTGTGTGGTCAGGCATGGATATGGGTCTGTCTGACTGCTCATGCTCTGAATGATTCCTCCGAATTGTTTTAATGCCTTTGTACTCATCTGCATCAGCCTGTTACCTCTGTTATTATCAGTCATCGCTCTGTCTACCGGTTTTGAACCTGGATTCTCTTGAGGATTCTTTTTGTTTGCCAACATTTTTATTGAGAGATAGACAATAGAAACGGCACGACTTCATGAGGTATAGTATACATCAAGAAAAAGGCACGTAAGTAGTGAGCGGTATTATAAAATACAATCGTAGAAAAAATAAAGTTCAAGTACGTGAATGAGGTAGGCAGTGAGATACGCAGAACAACCAGACAACCAACAAAGATTCAATACAAGTCAATGTATGAAAGACCATCGATCGAACAATAAGTGCCGATGTGTTTTCCAACCATCCCACCATTTTCTGTTGAATAGACGCATCCTACCCAGCATTGTATATTGAATACGTTCCATGAGCATCCCATATCGACTCTCCGCAAAACAGAGGACAACCGGTGACTTCCGATGAAGAGCAGTGGTGGAGACACAGATCGTATGAATTAGCCTCATGGCGTTGACTGGGAACCCGAAATGGGAGCACCCAGTAAGCAAAGTTGCATAGACAGATTTACCGGAGCATCCGCCAGGCAGAGGCCACCTCAGAAACTCTACGCTAGA